TTCGATCTTACCAACTTACATTACAACATCAAAATCACACATCTAATTATTTATCAATTACATAAACATTACATCATTAATTATTTAATTAACTAAAAAAATTATCTTTATTAATAACAAATTAATTCTTAAACAAAACTATTAAATATAAATTAGGCAAACGTGCATTGCACGTTACTTGCATCTAGTAATTTTATAAATGTGAAAAAATAGATTACTAGAATTACAAGATCCATTGTAATTTTCTTTCTTTTCCATTATTTTTGAGTCAATAAAATCTCTTAATTCACCGTCATATTTCTTGTCTTTATTATTCTTTTACTTGATTTAATACTTCATTATTTATCATATAATTTCAACAATTCATTTTGGTGGTTGGTTTTATCAAGTGGTATCAGAGCTTCTGGGCATAATTCACATAGCTCATTAGATCCACTCGAATTCTATTTCGAATGAAAGTCTTCAAAAGTCTATAAAAATTTTAAAATGAAAGTCTATAGAAGTCAATAGAAAACTTCCACTAATTTCATACAAATCTATTTTAAAAAAATCATGAAATCTACGGAAGTCATCACTTAAAAAGTCAATTAAAGTCTTCAAAAGATCTAATTGAATATACCCCATTAATATAATTGTTTTTTTTTTCCTCGACCGGAAGGAAGGCAACATGACTTAAACTCCTATTTTTTTGTCTGACTTAAATACGGCATAGACGATTTCATATTTTAAAAGAATAATGCTAGGTGTACATAACCAATTACATAATGGTTCACATAATACTGAGTGGCAATCATCCACTTGTTGATGTATAAGTGTTAAATTAAAAGTTAGATCACATGCCACATGTAATTATGTGAACCATTATGTAAATGGTTATGTAGATGTAGCATTACTCATTTTAAAATATCTCAATCAGAGAACACATTGATTCATTTAAATCAAATTTAGGCATCTCTAAATCAACGATAAATAATTAAAAAGTTAACTCTTAAGCGATTTGCCTATGAATTCTACCCTCGCTATTGCTTAGAAAATTCAACTTTTTGTTGACTAGCCCCACCACTTCCCAGTTCAAGAGATACCTCACTAATGCATACCCCGATTGCCATCATTAATTAATATTATTCAGTTCAATTCAACTTTTTAAATAGAATTAAGTTCCTTATACAGATGAAATATACATGAATTTATACAAATGATGAGGTGGTAATGCTGAATTGACTTATTTGAAGTTATTTTTAGAACAATATCCGATGAAATTGTAACGACTAACAATCTATCAAACTGTCTGGCGAATCCTGTGTACATGTAGCAAGATTGTTTCAAATGTGTAATAAAGTGTTATTTTAATTCTTCATTTTTTTCCGTAGCCTCCGCATATATAGGAAATGGAAAAAATATATATATATTTGTATACCTAAGCATATATATAGAAGAAAGAAAAATAAGTGCACGAATTTTTTTATCTTTACATCATTTTTCACCAAGTAAACTAAGAAGAGGCATCAATCATTGAAAATACATAAGGAGCCTCCTCACTTGATTCATAGTACATCTTTAACACGAGTGAAACGATAAAGACATCGAAAGCTGGTGATGGTTGTGGTGGCGACGGCTGTGACTAGTGGTTTCTTTCTCAATCCGCCATCGAATATCAAGAAAATCATCGACCGAACATGGCAGTCTAAGAGGGCCCGTTGAGTGGTAGCCATATACCTCTCGAGCTTCATCAAGAAGCCTTTTAAATAGAGGATGGTATAAATATGAAATTGGGATTTCAAATCTTTGAAATTCATTATCATCTGCCGATCCCACTCCCACTGCCACCCACCCTTTCTTCAACTTCATCTTCTTCTCCTCTTGCATATTGCAAATATGGATATGTATGTGTATATGTAGATAGTGAGAGAGAGAGAGAGAGAGAGAGAGAGAGAACACATGGAGTTAAAGAAGACTATGGGGTTTTAATTTATAGGGGCTTAAATTTGATAAAGTAATAGACGTGGGTAAACCGTACACATACGGAATCGTTTGGAAGCACTCGAAGCCCACCACATTTTCAATTTGGTCATCACTCTTGGGTTCCTACGTGTTACCTTTTTTTGCTTTAAGAGTAAGCGTCGTCTGATAGAATTTATGTCTTTCGTAGAATAGCTTTCTAAAAAAGTTATTTTATCGACTTTCTTTACAATCTTGTCTAGTTAGATAAAATACTTTTAGAAATTAGTTAAACGAGTTCATAAGTAACTTTCTAATAACAAAAGCATATTTTGATTTTTCAAAAATCTCGCCAAACAGACCCCTAATTCTTGATATACATTAGAATAATTTTTACGTTCGCGCTTACAGCAATAAATTTTATTAGTTTTACCGGAAAAAACAAGATACTTTTTATTATCTGCATATTAGTATTATCCTTGAGATGCGATTCCAAAATGTAGTGTTCAAATCTCGACCATTCATTTAGTGGTTTATTTGACTGGATTTCTTGATGTGGAATCGTGATGACTTCACGTTGTCAACACTATTCATGCACTTGTTCTAAACTAAATAGAAATATAAGCTTATAATTATGAGAGTATTTGGTGTAAATTAAAATCGATTTTAAATGGATTGTGATAGAAGTTTTTGAAATGTGTGGTTGAAAAGATGTGGAACCCATGAAAGATGTGGTTGATATTGATTGTCTGACTTTGACTTAGATTAAAATCAGATTAAAAATTAAAATTTTACTTTAAATCAAAGTCAACAATTAATTTTAAACAAAAGTCACGGAATTCGGAATTTTTCAACCACTCATTTCATTAACTTTCATTGAAATTTACTAAAAATCTGATTTTAATCATCACCACATAGTGGCTATATGTTACTATTAGGGTCAAAGTGAACACGACCGTCCATAGGCGACTTGATCTATCTCGCGCAAACCAGAATGGACCACGTCGAAATTTTGCAAGCCAACGGAAACTTGTAAGCTGGCTGTTCCGGGTTGCAAGCAGTACAACCCGAATGACACTACTAATAAATTTATACATACAACTTTACGGAGAAAAGGAGCAATTTTAGAAGAGTCAAAAGGGTTATTAATCATTGACAAAGAAAAACTACGTGTTGTGATGGCATTGAAATTGAAAAAGGAATTGGAATTGGAATTGGAGGGTAGAGGCCAACCCTTTCGGCGCAACCATTTCAATTATACCCACTTTCAGTGTCAATCATTTCTTCTCGTGGCCTTTGTGCAGTATCCTGATTCGGGTAGGATACGCACCAAACAAGGAGTCAACATAACTTTTATTCTAGTCAACTTATGATTGTAAATGAATCCGATTAAAATCAGTTTTTTAGTAAATTTTGATTAAAAAAATGATTGATTGTGTGACTGAAAAATTATAAATCTCATAATATGTATAGTTAATTAATTGTTAGCTTTAACTTAAATTAAAATTTTAATTTCTATAAATCAGGAGATAAATGTGTTCTCTCTATCCCTTATTTGGCCTCCATTATTTGAAATTTTAATGGTTGAAATAATATTTTTTTGAAAAATATGTGGTTAAAAAAAAAATTTGGGATTACTAGTAATATTATTTTAATGAAAATAAGAAAAGAGGAAAAAATGAATTATAATTTTAATGGAGCCAAACATAAGCTTAACAACTTCCGTTCTTAAATTAAGAGGTTATTCAACACGCAAATATACATTTTCGATTCATTCCATACAAAAATATATATTTTGAATTCAAATTTCACTCCGGAGGTTACATATATATTTCAATTTAAACTAGTATTTGTTCGGAACCGTTCCTCCTACTCATTAATTTGACACACTTATTTGACAAATAATCGTGACCTTTAATTTAAATCAATCAAGCGCTCAATATTTTATGGATATCAGGTGGTTATAACAAACTTTCACATAATATTAGTGAAATACATATTGAACGTTTTATTGTTTTAAATTAAAGGTCACGATTATTTGTCAAACAAGTGTGTCAAATTTATGAATAAGAGGAACGATCCCGGTATATATATTATTCTTTCTCTTAACAATATAAACATTTTAATCAGGAGAAAATTTAGCTATTATTTGAACCCCATTTTTATAATTCATTTTTCCTCAAACTCATTTTCAACCCCACATTCTCCCAATAAAATAATTTTACTGTAAATTCAAAAAAAAAAAAAAAATCATACTTTTAAACTACATTCTTAAAAAAAATCACTTTTGATAAAATTTATTCTCAAAAATGAGGCTCAAACATGGGAAAATGCAAAGTATTTTGAAAAGTGATTTATATTTGTTTTTCATTTAGGAGATGAGAAAAGGACTGTCATGTTTGAACCAATACCCATAATCATATTGAGAGTTTTTAGGAGAAACTCGTAGACAAAAATTTAGATTTCTTATAACCACTTGTATTAATTTCCTTTTTTGGGTCCCATTTGGTAGGCAGAATCATATTCACCTGTCATTGCCCAGTTTTGGCACATTTGCTTCTCAAATATTCCCCTACACCTCTATATACCTCCATGAGTCATCACACATTATTGCATTCTCACAATCCCACAGATTTCTATAAATATTGCAAGATCACTTTGTCAACTTTTGGGCACATGGGCGGTTCATGCTGCTATGTCCATTCAACATGCATGGTCCAATTGCTTGATTCCTGGCTCTAAAATCCCAATATAAGTTGGGTGCAATGCATCTTGTTCTCGGTACTGGGGTCTCAGGTAGCATGTGTGTGTATATATATACACATGTTAAAAGGGTAAAATTTCATTTTATGTTAATGATGAATAAATAGACAATATATAATGGCTATTCCTCATAATAAGATCAACCTTTCAAGATGAACTCAAAAATTATATAGTGTCGTAGTCCAACAAGTTCAAATGAACAATTTGATCTGTGTAAAGCTCTAACAAGCAAATAATATTTCAAGATTGATATTCTCAAATGGACCGCCATCTTGTGGGCATGTTAAAGTACAATCCCACATCAATTAATGATGAAATATATAAACAATCTATGAGGACTTCTAATTTTTCCTCTTTACGAGGCCGACCATTAAGAATGGAGCCCTAATACTCTATAATACCCACACATATATAGAATATAAAATTCCAAAGATGATGAAAGAAACTCAAAAATTATCAGTCGTTTAGTGACTAATAAAACCATATTTTTGAAATAATAAATTTAGAAAATGACACGTTTCTTTACAAGAGGCGTGCAACTTAACAAAGGGCTTTCAATAATTCAAATAAATTATACATAGAAAACCTTGCTACTTCATCTCTTACAGAAATTATTGAAATGAACATTATTGCATCTTTGTATAATAAAACGTTGAAAATTATTCAGACTTGACTTTACTTAAAGTGCGAAAATATCAAGATCTAAAAATGAACATTGCAACCAAGCATACTTCCCATCCATTGATTTATTCATCAATCCCTACATAACCTCGTGCCCATCGTCCAAATCCCATGTATTAGACATGTTCATTAAGCTAGACCGGAAATAATTAAACTCAACAACAGATAAATATATCACATTCATCTTAATCATATATCTTATACAGCTCAACATATCAAACACACCTATTAAGGAGTCAAAATACAGTCGAACCTCTTTAAATTCCTAGTCATTCCCATGTTTCAATTTTAACTCTCCATCATAAATATGCTTAGAGCTCAATGAGATAATGGTAGATAACAGATATAAAGGCATGTTTGGCTACTGTGAACAGAAATGAGTAACAAACTCTTTTTGAATGAGGGCACTCTCAGTATTACATACCTAATTTCCAATAATCGGATAAAATGCTTCTGGGAATACTTCTGTAATTGACGCCTCGCTCAGCCATCGCTATAGACCAATCTATTTTGACTGAGTCTTACTCTTGACTGATGAAGCCATCCGGTTTGCTTGCTCTTCCCCTTCTTCAATTCTTCTCCATCGTGCTTCTTCCTTTTGTCTTTGCATCAGTTCCAACTCTCTCAGTCGTTCTTCCTCTTTTCTCTGGAACTCCAGAGCTTCTCTCCTCTGAGACTCTTCTACCCTTCGGCGGTTCTCTTCAAGCATTTTATCAAGTTCTTCTCTCTCTTTTCGAGCTTGCTCCTGTTGATCAGAAGCATTTCAGTACAGAAGACTTCGCAAAGGTATAGAATGCAACAATAAACAATTCCTATTGATTTTGTTATGCAGCAAAAATGTAGCAAATCAATAATTAGATACACTGGAAGCTCACAAGTTTGATGATTCAACTGATGTAATTGCAAGTAGATTTCAAGAGCAGAACATTAAATCCATGTTTGAGCTCCATTATCTCAAAATACATTTTTCCTCAAACTCATTTTTCACCACACATTCTTCCAATGAAATAATTTACACGTAAACAACTTTTTCATACTTTTTAACCACAAAATCTCCAAAAAAATCACTATTACAAAACTCATTTTTTGTTAAAAATGGGGCTCAAATGGGAGCTAAGAAACATCTGGAAAATTGAGAAATTTTTACCTAAAAAATTTAATGCCAACTTGTTACATGCACCCAAAAAAACAAAAAAGGTCTCTGCTTTCTGCTTCGTCCACTTGTGTGGTTAACTGGTGACAAATGAAGAGAAAAAATCAAGAACTTCATCAACAATAACAGCAACAACGCTAAAATCCTTGAAATAAAAACACAGCATTCCTTCGAAGTCACAACCATGAAAGAAGAAAGCGATGAGAAAATATTTTTCCTATATTTGGCACTTCATCAGGCACAGATGTTTGTTAGATGATGCTAAAGCCCTATATGGCACCAATTTGGGATTAACTACAACATTTAAAGCAAACAAATCAAAAGAGGCAGAGCAAGATTGCACTGGTATTACATATGTTGCATCCGTTTGACAATAGTACTCGTGCATTTGCACTGCAAAATCAGTCAAATTTCCAATACAAATAATCAGTCACCTCAATAATATTAACCAACCAAAAATATAAATCTCCACATAATATCAGTTATCAATAATTTCCCAACATCCATATCTCATAATATGATACAAACCCTTCCAATTGATCGGGAATCTACGACACTACTAGTACATCAATGCATACAAACTCATGTGTGCACGTCATATGTGCAAAACCATTATCATCCTGATAAAATCACAATATCAACATAAAAGTCTACTGGACATTGGCATGTGCAACAATGTTAGATGAAATTCACTTCTGGTCAAGGAAAATGCAGGTAACTTTCTCACATATTTGAAGGGCAATGCCATGGCTGATGGGCTAGCAAACGCATGCCTTTAAGAAAGAACATATAAGATCTTGCAACCTTGAGAACTTGAAAGGGGAAATCACAGATATGATAAAATTAGATAAATGGAATCTTCCTAGTTTACAAGCTGAAGAGACAGATGATTTGTATTGTAAATGCATTCTTTTGTTCTTGACTAAGAGCATGTTTGAGCCATTTTTTGCAAAAAAAAAAATGCATTTTTGAATAGTGATATGATGTAGAATGTGTAGTTAAAAAATAAGAAAATAGTTTTGATTTGTGTGTAATATTATTTTATTGAAAAACGTGTGGTTAAAAATAAGAGAGAAAAAATGTATTTTGAAAATAATGGGTATCAAACAAGGGCTAAATAATTAATTGATAATTGTTTTTTCTTCTTAATTCGTCATTTGTACTCGCTTGGATGAAAGGCAGTATGTGCTTTATATGTATTCACTTTTCAATAAATATACTTAGTAGCGAATGATGTCAATCCCCACCCCCCAACTCGCTTGTAAGTGTGATAGCCTAAAGACCTATCCCTATGTTTCTTGAGTGGACTTTCGAGAAATTAAAAACACTTTCATGCAAGTTGAATTATTTCATTTTGAACTTTGTGCTACAAAATCAATATTAGGGTGTGTTTGAGCCACATTATTTTGAAAGAATGTATAATGGAATAGTAAATTGATGTAGAATGTGTGGTTGAAAAGGAAAGAAAGGTTATTGATGTGATAGAAAATATTATTTTATTGAAAAAATTTTGGTTGAAAATGAGTAGAAAAATGAAAATAAAAAAAATAATGTGTACCAAACAGGGGCTTAATGGTATGGATACGAAATACCGAGCATAAAATTTATAACTGACTTAAAATTATTAACATCATTATAATCACCATTTCAAGATACTAAAGCTTTGCCATCATCATCGAGGTCAAAACATCAACAACTCTTTCCAAATGTTAAAGCTGACACTCTTTATGAAGTAATTCGAAATTAAAAACACTTTCATCTCAAGTTACTAAGCCCCTGTTTTTCAAACATTTTTTTCTACATACTCATTTTCAACCACGCAATCACACAATAAAATATTCTACACGTAAACGCAAAATTTTTACTACTTTTTAACTACACATTCTTATAAAAATCTGTTCAAAACTCCTTTTTCCTAAATAATGGTTGTCAAACGGGTGTTAAATTATTTTGTTTTGAACTTTGTGCTACAAAATCAATATTAATGGTATTGATACAAAATACCGAGCATAAAATTCATAATTGACATCACGTTATAATTATTAACATCACTATAATTCCAATTTCAAGATACTAAAGCTTCGCCATCATCGTGGTCAGAACATCAACACCTCTTTCCAAATGTTAATGCTGACACTCTTTACGAAGTAATTCATTCATAGAACCATATAGGACCACCATGGTCTAAATCTTAAATTATCACATTATATCTTCAATTTTGTATATCATCATGTACAAATGCAATAATTTAAAATATAGGCCAATGCAAAATACTACTGGCCGACTGTGCCTAGCCAAAAAGGACGATCCCATACAGATCTAAACACTTACTCTCGACATATTCTTTTCTTCTCGTGCCTTAAATTTTTTTGATAACTCAGAAATCTACAAATAAACTATTGGAGTTTTAAACAATTTATGAGAAGTACACATAGCAGAGGCACTAAACAAATTTAAATTGTATCCAAACCAATTAAATGCAAAGAGGCATGATGTTCTTGTTGTGTATCCGCCCCATGTTTCAGGGTAGATCAAGGGTCCTAGCCCAAACAAATTGGTATAGTTAAAAAGACCCAATGCTAATTATGATTGAGAATGAGATTAACAAGGAATTTTAGTTAAAGGCCTAATTTATCCAGGAAACCTTGAACATTATCTTTACCTGTGCCGGAAGAAAAAGGAGAGTCCCACTAGGACTTTGATGTCTCAATTACTATATATAGGATGAAATGACAAGAAAATTGGAGCGTGCAAGAATACAAATCCAATTCCAAAAAGGGAGAAAACATAGAGCAACAAACAGGTAAATTCTCCCAGTTCGACCAACATGTGCATTCGTTGATCAAAAGTTGATCTCATGTTTTGTGGTCCAAACATCTTGAAATTCGGACAGCATGTTCGCATTTTTATCCTATCACTCCATTGTCTAATCAACTATGACATTTAGACGGACTCGTTGAGCTTCAAATCCAACGGTTACATTCATTCAGAGAAATCGTTGTCTACTGTGTAGTGAATTTTTGTGAGATCTTTCCTTCATTGATTTTTTAGTAGCATTCCAAGAATAGTAGCTTTTAAGGAATTCCATCTTTTATAGACAAGGATTTTTAGGTGCCAAGAATTGTTGAATTGTTGATGGTTTGGTTAACCTCTAGGTTTATCTGGAGAGATCGTAGTACCTATTATTGTTAATTATAGTGGACAGTTATTCGGAGTTGGGAGTAGTGGACGTAGGCACATTGTTGAACAATGTTAAATATTGTGTCGTTTATTTTGCGTATTTTTTGTTTGGTGGTTGCTCTATTTGGTTATCTCCTATTAGATTCGAACAAGAGAGGGAAATTGTTTATTCCAATGTGTTGTTGTTAGATATAGTGTTAGATATTTGCCTAATTTCCCCAACCGTTCTTACCATGATCATAATGACTTTTAAAAACAAATTTCTCTTTATGCTCTTAGACAACTAATGAAGCCTGATCCTCAAAACAGAGAATTGATTTTTTCTTGAAACGGAGAGCTACAAGAAAAGATATGTAAGTACAAAGAAAATACGCATGACCATTAAAGCTCAAAGAGGAGAGGATCCCTAAAGAGGACACAGAAAAAAGGGAAGGAAATAAAAAATGAGCTTACTTCTTTCTGCCTTGCCTCAATCAGAGCAGCTTCCTTTTCTTTCTGAAGTTGAGCTTCAACATCATCGAAAAGTTTCTTCTGACCTTCTTTAATTCGTACCTCTATTTCTAGTTTAACTTCTTCAGAATCCAATTTCTCTTCAACCCTTTTTCGAATTTCTTCATCCATTCGCTTTGCAGTCTCTTCTTCTAATTGTTTAAGCTCTGCCTCATGCTGTAGTCTGAAAAAGCTCATTTAAGAAGAAATAGAAAATCCCAATAAATGAGAATTCTTACATGAAACTAATGGCACTTTTCAGGGCGAGATAAGGGAGGATATACATCTGGAAAGTGACAAAACATGCTTCAATGCATTGAAAAATTCACTCGCTGATAATCCTTCCATCCCATGAATGGAAAATACAACCACCCATAGAAGTAAATGCAACATATTGGTAGTTTCCTTCATAAAGCTGAGTCATACTCTAGCATTGGATCAAAATAATAACTTATCTAAAATTGCAAAATAGAGACATCCTCTTGCCAAGTCGAGAAGGAATAAGAAGAAAAGAAGCAGGCAAGTGAATGTTTCACATATAACTCATACAGTAGGTATTGTAAGGGAAAAGTATTAACATTGCTATACAAGACATCAGTGATTATTCAAACACGAAGTACTGGGTCCTTACAAAAGATCAGTGATATAATTGCTGTGGAATGAACATATGGAGTGGTGAAAATTGATGTAGACGACCACCGCAATATTGTGAATAAGTCTTATTGTCTGTTTTTTGTTATTCAAACTTATTTAGTTTATTATGGTCTTGACGCATATGTATCTGCCCAATTATGTGGTAGAAAAAATTAGAAGCCCTTCAACACACAATTGAATAGTCTTATTGACCACTTGGGTTTATAAAGAAAGAACGTGGAGTTTTATGATTCTTGAAAGGATATTGTGATTTTACCTTTTCTTTTCTTCTTCTTCCTTTCGCAATTTCTCATTTGCATTCTTGCGCTCAAGTGATGTGAGACTGGAACTACGAGATTTAGGAGGCGAAGACAAAGAAGAACTCGGGCTTCTATGTCTCCTGTGATGCCTTGGGGTTGGAGACCTGCTTTTGCGACGCCTCAAAGCTGGTGAACGACTTCTTCGCCTTCGTGGAGTAGCAGAATTACTTCTTCTCCTGCTACAGTAAAAAATTATTGAAGAGGGATTTGATTAAAAGGCCAGTCCATTTGAGGTCACAATTGCAAATTTTGTAATAATATTCCCTTTTATATCGGTGGGAATAAGTAAATAAATCTTGAATCCAATCCTCGTAATAAATCCCCAAGTCTCCTTTGGATTCTATAATATCTCAAAATCCACAATGCTAAAAAAAATCTCCCGTTTTTCTATTGAGAAATCAAATCTTATCAACAATAGTTTATAGAAACAGATTCGTCTCCACAGAACTACGTTGATGTCAATTCAATAATGGCATCAAAACTTGCAATTTCCTTGGAAGTCTAGAGCTACAAATTATCTCACTTCTGAAACTTCCCCTTAGGTCTAAATTGAGCTTTGAGTTATAATTTTCTTTTGGTTTTTAAGCACATTAGACTCAAATAACCAATCCAAGCACTTTATCCAAAACCAATTTTTAGGAAAAGTAAACATTTTTAACATTTCCTCCTCGTACAGAGTTAACAACAGCAGAAAAGCTTATTAAAAATTAATTTAAATTAATTGCTATTGTTTCAAGCAAACAATAAAAAACAAATTTGGAGAAGGGACAAGGAATGAATCGTATAGTACAAAAGCGTTGAGAATAATTGTCAATTGGTAGAGGCATGTGTTAGGATGACCTGCTGTGAGGAGAACGAGAACGGTCACGGCGGCTGCTGCGGCGGCCGGAGTGGCGGTGAGTGATGGGTGAACGAGAACGAGAGTATCGCCTCCTCGAGTACGACGGCGACCTCGATATACTCCGCGGCATCACTTTTTTCTCTCTCTCTTTTCCCTCCAAAATTGCGAAAGAGACGCAAATCAAATCATTTCCTTGCGCAGATTGAAAGAAGTTTGCAGTGGAATCGAATAGGGCAGAAGACGGGCCGGGTCCAATATTTTACGTGGGCCGGGTCACTTCGGTTACTGTGTAATTCAAGGTAGGAGTTAAGCCCACCACCTTAGAGCAAGCTTTTTTTCTCGAATTTTGGTATAAGTACAGGAAAATTATACAGAATGAGTATAGGAATTTGAAATGGAGGGAATATATTCAAATTCCTATTCCCTGTACTTGCAGCATTTTTCTGTTTTATCAAGATCTCACAATAGAAAGTATCTTTTAATAAAGAGTAAAGAATATTTAGGTAATATATTTAGGTGAAACATTGAAACTTACAATTTTATTAAATGCAATCATAATAAAGTATATCAAGATTTAGTTCGGCTCTCCAAATAAGGAGTTTATTCGAACTTAGCCAAACATGAGCTTAATTTCAAGGCTTAACTCTTTAATAGACATGGAGGGTTGCTATGCCAGCTTCAGTTGAACACAGAAGCAATTCGATAAGAGGCAGTGATAATAAAACAATTCGTCGTAAAATAAGAAGAAAAAGAAACTACACATTTACATCGTACACCAAGTAAGAATTTTTCTCTCACTTATGTTCGTCTTATATTCCATTGTTGTCGATTTTTCGACATTGAAACTTAATGGGTACTATAGTTATTCATTTTATACTTCATATTTTGGAATTTCATAAGTAAGTTTTTACTAGGTTTGTGTGAAGTAAATTTTTGGATTCTACTATTTTTAGTTTTCACTTTATGAGGCGATGTTTACACGAGGGAGGATAGTTATTGGGTAGAAGGCTGTTGCATTTTGTGATAGCGTGTTTGTTCACATTATGACATTGACACTGATTTTGCTGTTTGTAATCCGGCCGTAATCCCACGTTATTCACAATTAGCATAAAAGGAGACGGAATCACATTGTTATCTAATTTTTGCTGTCGAATGGATGATTTGATCGTAAAGTTTTACAAATGATACATTGTATCTATGTTCTTTAATCAAAATCAGTGATTTGTGTCTTTTTGCTTTTATAAAGTATTTGTGTAGACAAGTCACGTGACATCAAACTAAATAAAAACAAAGCGAGAAATTACACGAGGTTCACACTCTGGATCGCCTCCCCCGTCCCACATTGTCGTCAAAGCGATTAGATAGCTAGCGAGGTGATTGAAGCCCCTCGTTCGTAGTAACACGTACAGAGGTTGGCATCACCTCTTGCTACAGTGAATTCAAAAGTGATTGGCCTCTCCTATGAAATGCATCTTCTATCACATATCACCTTGACCAAAAGACATTACGTGCAAATATATCACCTTTAACAGCAGTGCAATAGACACGCTCAGTCATCTTTTCAGTTTAATTTCAAGATTGCGGGGCAATGACATAGGGTGATCGGTTTTCTCCCCTACTTAAGATAGCAACGAGCCTATGAGAGTTGGGATTTACACCTTTTGAGCTTGACCCATGCGCCATTGGGATGAGGTCCATGTCAAGCATTTAATGATCCTCACATCTTTTCTCTTCGGCATAAAAACTTACACTTAGTGATTTTCAAAGAGAATGTAACTTTGAGCACCATAATCATCCATTATAATATTCGATAATCTCTTCAAATTCGAAACTCATGTTCTCGTCCATTGTATTTCTTCCACATTTAAATATATCTTTTTCACTATTTGACTTAGGCGTTGAGTGCCGACAATTGTCATACACTTGTTGATTTGAGCTCAATGTGTATATTTGTTCATGTTGCAACTTAACAGATTTTAGTGTGGTCCATGCTGCTCGTCGGTGCATATTTTGCAAGATTTTAACTAGGCAATCATTGTGTAGTTGGTATTGTTATATTTGCCAAGTTTTTTTGGATGATCATCATCAATATAAAAAACAATGAAGCTATTGTTTGGTAGAGATTTCCTTAAAAAAAAAAAAAAGTTTTGTGAAAATTTTTTTTTTTTTTGTAGATTATCTAGTTAAAAAGTAGGAAAAGTTATGGGTCCGCTTGTAAAGAGTAGAGGCCAAACATGGGTGAAGCTCCTTTTGTTCATTACGCCCCTGTGTTGGTTTGAATTAAAGTCAACAATTAATTTGAACCATCTACAAAAAAACTCAATAATGTCATAAAACTAGAAACATATGCCATTTACAGCGGTTCCTTCTCTCATTTTGTCCAATCGACGGCTTCCTTCTCAATTTTCCACTGCGACTGATTCACCTCGTTCTTTCTAGCGATTTATTCTACATACAAATTGTTAAATAGTCCTTCACATATCTTGGACAAGTTAGACAAAGCATAGTTAGCAATCTTTTCTCTATGCTTCTTTCCCTTTTTTCTTTTTTTTTTGAAAGCTAACAAAAAAACTCTACAAAATCATATTCGATTCACCAGTTTCCAGTTGAAACGGTAATTTCATCGATTCCTATATTTTTTTATTATAAACCTACGACCGAGTCTATTCACAATTTTTTCAGTCGAACCGATCAGGCCAATACAATTTTCAAAGCAATGCGTAACAGAATAATATTATCTATGTCTCAACAGTTTAGATAGCTTTAATTAATATGCATTATTTCAAAATGAAGTAATGCCACATAGATGGCCATTTGTAAGCGTTACTTACCAATAACATTATTGTTGTAAATAGTATTCTATGCACATTTCGGATGATATATATTTACTTAATTGTCATCTAAACCATTTGTGGATAGCATTATTCTAAATCAAAAGTAGAAGAATGTGAGTATAAGTGGCTACAACCTTCGGTTGCCTATTATCATGCCATTTGTAACTTTATATTATATATAATAATTTTACATTGACCAAAAATAAATGCGCCTTTTGAATTATTATAGTGTTGTTATGGATAATGCAACATCTTTGAGTCGCATCATCTTTCCCTAGTGCTAACCTTTGACTCAATACTCGCATAGTATTCCACTTTAATTCTAATCAACAATTATTCATCATAGTGGACGCCCTATCTTAACATATGGTGACAAACACAATATGGCACACACGTGAGTTGTCAGTTCCATGAAATTCAATAAACGAGAAAAATCTATTTCGAAATTTGGAATACCTTTAAATTTACTACTTCAATCGTACAAGAGAGATGCGTGTAAAAAATGTGTGCCGTAAATGATCAATTGCATAAAGTATTTACGGAGTACGTTTTTTACGACGTGTTTATGCATGACGTAAATTCCAAAACATTTTACGGTGTGCTTAAAACATGCCGTAAATGTTGCCATTCATGACATGCATTTTAACATGCCATATAAAGTGAGATACCTTTTTACGGCATGCCGCTGCACGCAGTAAAACTGATTTACGACATACATTGTAACATGTCGTAAAAAATGGTGTACCTTTTACGGCGTGCAGCTGAACGCCTTAAAACTCATTTACGGCGTATTTTGCATGCCGTAAAAGGTACACCACTTTTTACGGCATGAATTTATATGGCGTGCAGCCGCATGCCGTAAAGAGGTTTTTACGGCATGCATACATTTTGTTGTAGTGGACGCTCGAGTTTTTAATGAACTCGAGATACATCTTTACTAGCCAATCGTCCATTTCAATTTTTCTGTGTGATATCCCTCGTGTTTTACTCATATCTCTTCTATATATTAAAAGTGGCTATGTAATGGAATTTCTTGTTTTTAACGGAAAAACTAACGGAATTTGTTATTTTAACGGACTATGTAACGGAATTTTTTATTTTAAACAGGCAGCTGCACGTTCTTTCAGTGTTTTTATCGTAACTTTGTATTTCGATATCCGATTGAGGCGATTCAAAATGCGTTGGAAAGCTAACTCATTTGTCTACAACTTTGATTCAAACATCATTCTCCAATTCGATCACTTTCTATGCTAAAAATAGGTCTCAATATGAGACTAAAATATCGGAGCATAACTTTTCGGTTGGAAATTGATTTGTGATCATCTTTTG